TAATATTCATATTTATTATAATAGTTTAATGATATTCTGATCATGGAAGTAAAAAGAGAATTGAAGGAAGATAAGTTTTCTATTCTTTAATCCACTTAAACAGGTAAGATGTCAATACCAGTAGACAATGATAAGATATAGGTATGAAGATGGAGAGGGAGTGAGAGAGAAGGAGAGGGAGAGACAAAGACAGAGGTAACAAAAGAATTACTAAAGTTTTTCTACAGATAGTCAAAAACAATAGATAAATTAAAAAGAAATTCCAAAAAGTTACTGCTTGATTTTATTCATATGACATTCTGGAAATCACAAAATTCTAGAGATGGAGGACAAATTAGTGAGTGCCAGATGTTAAGAATATGGGCAGGGGCTGAGAGTGCTACAGTAAGGTAGATCTTTGTAATGATGGTATAGCCTTCAGCTTAATTTCAGTGGTGGTGACATAAATTTTTACAAGTGGCAAAATGCCATCAACCTAGACACACTTTGTAGTACTGTTAATTTTTTGGATTTTATATTGCACTGTAGTTATGTTAGATGCAACTATTGGGGAAAAGTGGTACACAACTCTTGTATAATCTTTTTATAACTTCATGTAAATTAATAGTGATTTCAAAAAAGGTGAACAAAACCTTATGCAGCACACTAATATTATAGGCAACTAGGTTAGATAGAAATTAATATCCAGTCAGAGAGGGACTGGGCTCTCAAGAAAATAAAGACATCAGAATTGTGGCTGGAGGCGCATCTGAAGACCAAGCCTCAAGATGAAGATACCATGGCCAGGCCAGCGAACCTCCCTAAGGAATAAACAATAACTTGGAATTATATTGTAATTAGCACCACCTAATCCAGTGAGTCCAGATAGGCATCAGTCGCTCACGTGTGTGACCAGAGCATCTGGATCCATCCCTTCCCAAAATGCCTTTGTTTTTTCTGTGTACCCTTGCTATGTGACCTGCTTCCCAACTGGATCAATGTTAGCTAAGCAGCTATACTTTTAATCCTATATGTTAATTGTAGTTTGATTCATGTTGTACCCACATTGTGACTTTGCTGTATAAATTAACCCTGCCAAACACCCTCAGAGGTAACCCACTTCCAAGACCCCTCCTGTCTGTCAGGAGCTATCTCTCAACAACAGGAGCTATCTCTTTCCTACTCTTAACCTCTGTTGTCCCTTGAAATTTATTCTTTGATATCAGGGGACATGAACTTGGCATGGGTGACATTTAACAAATTGGGAGTTACATTTCTCCTATGTCACTAATAGATAAACCCACTTACCTGGCATGCATCTCTTTTTCCTTTTAAGGAACCAGCACATAACATTCTTGGAGTTATACCACCATTGTAAACTTGGGGTGTATTGCAAGTTTTAGTGTCTATTAGATTGACTTGTACTTGCCGAAGATGATTCTGAGTGTTACCTAAAAGGAAAAAAGTTTTTTTATTTGTAGATATGCATATACTTTGTAAACCTGAAGAAAGTCTTTAATAAGTACTAGATAAGATGGTAATATTTAATCTTAGGATATGTATGATTTAGATACACTAAAATTTAAGAAGATAATTTTTTCCTAACTAGAGAATTCAGGTACATAGGAAAGAAACTCAAGTTGTTTGAGTAAATTCTAATCCAAAGTTAAGATTATGGAGAAATTTTGTTTGGAGAGAACAGTGGATTTACGATTATCTAATCTTCACCACTGGGTATCTCTGAAACCAGCTAATTCTTTAGGAAAACATCCAGTGGATAGTAAATATATTTGCTCTTTCAGATACTTTACCAGCATCATTACTGTAGCACTTATATAATTAATAGTAAATCAAAGCAGGAAATAATTTATACATCTTCTAAATGACATAAAGTTTGACTTAACCCTGGTCCATATCACCAAACAATCAACATATTTTGGAATAAAAACATTTTTTTTCTTAAATGTCTTGGAGTCCCAAATTAAGCCAGTAGGATTTAAGTTTTTCTTTAGATGCCTACCATTATTTTGTACTACTCCAAATCCTGTCACAAATACTTCATCCCCTGGGAGAAACTCATGGGTGGCATCAGGGAGACAAATTCTATGTACTGCATTTGTATAAGGAACAGGGCTAGAAAGCTCTGCAAGTGAAATATCATAATCATGCAATGAGTGTGTGTATTTTTCATGGACAATTATCCTCCGGAGGCCTCTTTTCATTTTTGGAGGATTTATTGTTACTCCAAAGGAAGCAGACCATCTGCCTGGGTTTTTATACCTAAGGAGAAAAAATAAAGAATAAATTCTATTTTACTGTGCTACCAATCTAATCATTTATATGAAATAATTTAGTTCAAAGCTGTCAATATGTTTTTTCTTTATTACTTTTAATAGTTGCTATCTATAAAAATAAACCCTTTCAATCTTAGAATCATGGTCGGGGGCAGATCAGGTGGAAAAGCTAACGTGGCTCATGTGTTAGGTTGTAAATGCCAAGTCACCCGCTGCAGAGCCAATGACCTTTTGGTGTTATGGGCCAACAGTGACTCCAAAGTGCATCCAGAAATAATATCCTGTACAGAATTAGAAAACTACATTTATTCTATGTGCTTCACACCCTCAACCTACAAATATATATATTTCTCTAGAAACCATATAGACCATACAACAATTTAATGAATCATTACTGTTCTATATTCTGTAGATATTTGACACTGGGTTGAAAAGTTCTATATTCCTTATGACAGAGCTAGTCAATATATTCAGTTGCATATTTTGCTACTTCCCAATTTATTCATATCTAATTTAGCTTTCTTCCTACATGGAAATCCCCCCCCTCATTGAGATCAATCCTACAATCTGTCCAGCTTTCATCTCCAATAAAGATACTCAGTGGATACTCAGTTCTTCTTTTTAATATCAAGCTTAAAGTACGGAGAAGGCTTTAAAGTTCATGCTTTTTTAAAACAGATTATCATATGTTTATCGATGGATAATTTATCTTCAGAAATATATTTTGACACCATTTTCAATTCCAGAATACAAAACCTCTCACTAAGATTCATGAGATTTCAACTCTTTTGTGCTACCTACTCATGAATATATAGCAGAACACAGTGCCTTTTATTCACCCCAATTATTTTCAGGGCTTAGGACTTACATTTGAAAGCAATGAGCAGCACTCACAAGCCATGAACCATTGATTAAAGTTGCTCCACAGCGATGGACCCCATCCCACCGCAGACTGGTTTGCCACGGCCACTCTCCTTCTTCTACCTCTGTCCCACCAACAATCCTGACACTCTCTCTCACAGATTTAGTCCTTCGAGTCCCACAGCCTACCAAAGAAAAATGATGCACTAATTAACAGTTGTGTTGTTTTGTTTTCTTTAAAATTTGTTTACTACAGAGATTATGTAAAGGTGCATATTTCCAATGATGAATGTCATTATATTGTATACCTAAAATATACCAATAAAATAAAATCTTAAAAAATTTGTTTACTAGTACATATTTTGGTACATAATGAAGATATTCATTGTGGGTAATTGGGACATGCACGTGACACATCTTAAATTTTTTTAATGTCCCTTTTTCCTTGCCTTCCAACACCTCTTAGTCCCCATCTCATTTGCCAATACCTGCCTCCTTATTTCTAATTGTCTATTTTTTATTTGTCCTTTGATTTATTTGTAGCTCAGGTTTCTCATGTAAGAGAACCCATACAATTTTTAAACAAACTTAAAGAAAATAGATATAGAAGGACCTCAACCTGATAAAAACCATTTATGATAAACCTATTGGCAGCATAATATAAAATGAGGAAAAGCTGAAAGCTTTCCCTTCAAAAGCAAAAATCAAGCAAGGATGTCCACTATCACCACTCCCGTTTAATATAGTACTCTGTTATGGTTTGAGTCTAGATGTCCCTCCAAAGCCTCATGAGATCATAGATGGGTGAATCTAGAGTGTGTGATGCTAGGATTAAGGGCATGTGATTATTAAACCACTACATGTGAGTGATTGGTTTAGCACCACCCTAATAGCAGTAGTCTGAATAAAATAAAAGGAGCAGAAAAACACTGTTAAAGTCCCTTGTTGCTTTTGCTGTCTTCTGCTGCCATGAACTGTTGCCCCTAGCCATCTTGGTTTGGAGCCAGTTGATTATAGACTGAAAGTTCCATGAACTATAAATCAAATAACCCTTTTCCCTTTAACTTTGGGTGTCAGGTATTTTGTCTCAGCAATAAGAGAAAAGTAACTAACACATATTCAAAACATTAACTGAGCAATCAGGCAAGAAAAAGAAATAAAATTGGTATGTATAGAAATGAAGAAGCCAAATTATCACTATTTGCAAATGACATGATCTTTTACATAGAAGGCCCACAAAACTCCACCAAAAGACTCCTAGAATTAATAACCAAATTTAGAATTTAGCAATTTAGCAGAATACAAAAACAACACACAAAAATCAATAGCATTCCTATATAACAATAATGAACCCATCAAGAAAGAAATTAGGAAAACAATACCATTCACAATAATAGAAGCTGTTCTAAGTATCAGTTTATGTTACCACACACCAGCTTTCTTCTACTTTGTGTTTACGTATCAAATGTTTTCTCTTGTTCTTACCCTTCTGTAGATCTAAATTGTTTCAATAGTTAACTCCTATTCATCTTGTAAGGTTTAAATCTCTCCAAGACAGATTTCTCAATTTCCCTGCCTCCATACTGGTTAGTTATGACTTCTTTGATGCTTCTTAACAACAGTAACAACAGCAATAACAACAAAACAGATTGTATGTTTGTATATATTGTATATGTGCATTTGTGTATATATTTTTTCCTCAGAATTATTTATAATATGGTTTCTCAACTTTGACACCAATGACATTTTGAATCATATAATTATGTGAAGGGCAGTTGTTCTGTGCATCACAGAATGTTGTGCAGGATCCCTGGCCTAACACATATTAGATATTTTCAGTAGCATTACCACCTACAATCATGAAAAAAATGCTACAGGAGTACATGCTACCTTGGGTGATAAAAGTGCCTTTGGCTGATTCTGGAACTATATGCTCATACATTAGTCTCCTGAAAGTAGTCCTAGCATATGAGCTGCTTTAGGTCAGGATTGTATGTTGTCCTTTTGTATCTCTATTGTGGAGGCCCAACAAGGCAAAGACATACGTCATTTATATAATGGGATTATCTTTTGGCTCAGTAGTTAAATTGATAAATTAATAAACATTCCTAACTGACGAGTAACACAGTATCTTCCATTTTAAAAATAAATGTAGTATTGCCAATTCTGTAACTAGTAAATGTCTTATCTGAATCATGGTGAGGCACTCTGCTGTAGGAAAAGGGAAGACTAGAGTCAGCACTTTGACAATATGGCTAATACAATCTTAATAAATATATTAAACTTACAATTGTTCAGATAGCTGTCTGATTCTGTATTGTTGATTTCTGAAATACGCAGAAGTGGTATAGAATTAGGTCAGCACATCAGAATTGTACTAAGCCTCTGAATATTTCAAACACTAGAAGTCTGCAAAATTCCTTTATAAGCCAATACCACTGAGCTATAAAGAAAGCAACATAATTTATCATAGACATTGAATTTTCATTGCTTTGTAGAGGAGGCGGGACATGAGCAGTGCACTTTAAACTTTAATGTGTGTAATAGTCAATGGGAGCATGTTTATAATGCAAATTCATGTTTCCCTCCCCAATAATTGTAATTCAGTTGTTTTTATTAAAAGTCCAAGAATATGAATTTTTATACCAGAAAATAAGACTCCATTAATCTACAGTCCTTCTTTGGGAAATATCTAAACCACAGTATTTACTCCCTAACTGCAATGATACTTTTACTAACCATTATTTCAGATTATTTTACTCAGTTTCTAGGTATAGTCCCACCTGTAAAACACATCCAAGTGGCATCTCCAGAAATTGGTCTTCACACACATTAGAAACACTATTAACCTTTTTTAAGTTATCTCTGTGTCTTGGTTTTAGAAAGAGAGTATGCCATCAAACTGTCATTCAACTTGAGCCAATAATTCTTCACTTGTTGACTTCTCTAAAGTCTGACCCTAACCCTATGAAAACACTAACTCAAACAACAAAAGCATAATACTCTAAGCGCTCACGTTTTGTGGATATCCAATAATAGAAGTATTCTATTTGAACGTGGCATGACAGATGTTCTAAATGCAAATACATCAATCTGTTAATTTCTTTTTCACTATTTAATAGTACCGACTTTCTGGAAATATGTATTCTAGAAATTCTTCTTTTTGGCTTTCTCCATATAATTATTTCCGGGGAAAATAGCAAACATAAAGAACTGACCATTTCACTTAAATTACTATTAAGGAAACCACTTTTGATCTCTTTGCTTCAAATAACTTATTCATCTCTCTCTCTCTCTCTTTCTCTCTCGCTTTTCCTAGGCAAAGTCCTCCTTGTATGTTGGGACTACTGCCAAGATAGTCTTCACAGATGTGTAACTTGTGTGCCCACACTGGGCCCCATACTAAGAATGTCCTGGTGTTTAGTTTAATGCTGTGCTGTTGCTATAGAGAAATTCTTAAAAATTTAATCTGTAACTTGTGCTTTGAAAGAGAAGTCCAAAAGGATAATGGAGCAGAAAGTAAGCTGAACAGATAGACACAATGCTTGCCACTCTATTTGTATATATCATTCACAATTCAAATTCAGAAAGCAGATTTTGGGATCCACAATGTGTGGGTGTTCAGCCAGACTCCAAGCAAGTATGAGTAAGTGTGCCTTGCCTATCACTATGAAACAAGAAGCCACTGACAGTCCCAGGGATCCAAATGTTTTGTTTAAATCAGAACACTCTTAGAACCCAGGAAGAAAGTAAGGGCAAATTCCAATAAACACACATGAACATAAGACCCTGTCATGTCCTTTTTTCTCCTGTTACTTCTGTGGATTAGCCAAAGGCTTTTGCTGAAAATAACATAGAAAGACATGGAAAGATAAGGAAACCCTGAGTTCCTTTCCCTTCAATTCCTCATCACTCATCAGTTAGCAGAAGAAAGAGAGGGTTGGTACACTGTGCCATATACAAAAGACAAATAAAAGCAGTCAATTTAGCCTTGTGCACTATTTTCCTTGTAAGGCAACAAAGTGAAATACAGTCACATTTTCTTGCTTTGTGAAAAAAGGCCTGACATTTTCATTTTGTACTAGAGTGCATGAATTATGTACCTGGGCCTGCTACTGCTAAAACCTTCTACCAAAGCAAGTAGAGTAGTTGACTACCAGTTTGGGTCTCTACTTAGATGGAGCATCTCTTACCCTAGCACTTTGTATTCATTCTCTCCACTTACCCCTAGTATATAATGCTGCCATATATTACTATATCCACTAACCACATGTGGCCAGTGAGCTCCTGACTTTGTCTAGTCTAAATTAAAATATACCATCAAAACAAAATGTACACTAAATTTCAAAGTGTAGTAGAAAAAAGAAAGTAAAATATCTCATTGATAGTTTTACATTGATTACTTGTTGAAATACTACTTTCAATGTACTGTTAAATATATAAATTATTGAAATTAATTTCATATGTTCAACTTTTTAAATATGACTACTAGAAAATTTACTTGTGGTATATATAGTATTTCCATAGACCTGCGCTGTTCTGTATCATAGGGTTCAGACTTTTATTTCCATAGAAGATATTATAATTTTTATGTTCTAATAGTAAAAACCATGGCTACTTGTTTTGTTCTTTTTCATCCTTGAAAAAAAAATAAACAAAACAAAAACCCTTATTTAGGCCTTTTGATGATAGTTGCAAAAGATACCAAAAATAAGTACAAGTAAATTATGTTTTCATTAGTAAATGGTTTAAGGAAAGAAGCTACAACAAGATTTATCTAAAAAAGCAAATGTGTAGATGACATGAACCATTCCATCTATATATTATATTCACAAAATGTAAATTAGAAGGGACAAAAAAAGAAAAG